GCTATCTATGTTGTGCACACAACGGATATTAAAATTCGTATTTTAGTCTCATAAGACCTCAGACTTACCACTGAATCATGGGGGGGGGGAGTGTTATTGATGGACTGAAACAGTTGGAGATTTATCTTAAATTTTACGTACAAACATTTTTGCAGGATGAACATATACAATTGAGTTCATAATCACTTTTTAATTATTATTAAGACGCTAACTAATGAAAATTGCTAAACAGCTTATAGTAATGCATCTTTCCTTTATTTCATTTTATAGTTAAATACAACAACAACGAAAAACACACTAACATGTACAATTGTTCATCAATCCTTAAATCTTTATCACTTTAATTAGGTACCTTTAATTAGCCCTCATGATAGCTTTGGAATCATTCTGTACATTGAATAATAATTCACTTTTTTTTTTCAGAGTAGCTCTAACTTCTCTTATATATTAAATCGGATGCATATTTCACTTTAAAGTGATATTATATTTTAATTGTGTCTTATTATTTTAAAATTTTAATTTTTCCTTCAATAGAAAGAACAAGCATTTTTGTATTCATAAACTCATTGTTTGACGATGTTGAACTTTGATAATGTTATTGAGCTCAAACATATCGGTGTATTGAAACTGTTTTGCTTCAATAGAAAGAACAAACATTTTTTTATTCATAAACTCATTGTTTGACGAGGTTGAACTTTGATAATGTTATTGAGCTCAAACATATCGGTGTATTGAAACTGTTTTGCTCTTTTTTCTCTTCACCAAATCTACAAACACGCAGCAGTGCTGTTACTACATAATACTTCAATAGCAGTAATTCATTCAAAAAAAGAAAAAAAAAGAAGGAAAGAAAGAAAGAAAAAGTGGAGTACCAGCGAAAAGAAAAGTTTTGGCTTAGCTCGAAACTTTACAAATTCAGTTAATAAGGTGGGTATTCAACTCTTTGGTATCATCATACTCAAAATTACAGTGTATAAAGTGGGTATAGTAGAACTCAGTATAACAGTACCACAGGTACAACGCAATTATTGTGTCATCTATCGAATAAAAATATTACTACAATTTCCAATCATCTTCCTAGACTGTGTTACATTGAGCGCCATCTTTGACCTATTTATAAAACGAATATTCTTACGTTAATGTTTGATTATTTAGTTTGTATGTATTTCAGAAATTTCATTTTTTTCACTTTAATTATGTAATGCGTACAAAACAAAACATATATGAAACTGTCATTAGTCAGAAGAATATTGAATACTCAATTTTGTAATAATTTTGTGAGACAAAATACAGATAATAGTACACTAAAAATCAGTTTTTTATTCATTTTCAATCAAAAAATAATATTTTTGATTTAGTAGTTAATTACACCAAATACGCCAGTGCCAAATTTTGACTTTATCAAACAAGGATGTTTCCTTTTATGTACGAAACACGTTTTCTGAAATACTGTAATTTAACGATGAATACTTAGATATTTATTTATTCTGATTAAGAAGTTAGCACACAGGATCACATACAAAAATTGTAATGGTTTTCAAACGAGACCCAAAAATCCAGGGCCTTTCCAAAATTTTCCTATTTTTTTTTTTTTTCAAAACCCCTCGGTTTTTGGGTCCGTTT